CTCTGAAGAGGACATTTTGTAACCAGCCTCTTTACAATCTATGACCTCCTAACTGTTTTGTAGACGACATTTTATAACCTTCCCTCTGTACAATCTATGACGTCCTATCTGTGAAGAGGACATTTTGTAACCTGCCCTCTGTACAATCTATGACCTCCTATCTCTGAAGAGGACATTTTGTAACCTGCTCTCTGTACAATCTATGACCTCCTATCTGTTTTGTAGACGACATTTTATAACCTTCCCTCTGTACAATCTATGACCTCCTATCTATGAAGAGGACATTTTATAACCTGCCCTCTGTACAATCTTTGACCTCCTATCTGTTTTGTAGACGACATTTTATAACATGCCCTCTATCCAATCTACGACCTCCTATCGGTGAAGACGAAATAACCTGCCCTCTATACAATCTATGACCTTCTATCTGTTTTTTAGACGACATTTTATAACATGCCCTCTATACAATCTATGACCTCCTATCTGTGAGGAGGACATTTTATAACCTGCCCTCTGTACAATCTATGACCTATCTGTTTTGTAGACGACATTTTATAACCTGCCCTCTGTACAATCTATGACCTCTTCTCTGTGAAGACGACATTTTATAACCTGCCCTCTGTACAATCTATGACCTATCTGTTTTGTAGACGACATTTTATAACCTGCCCTCTGTACAATCTATGACCTCCTATCTGTGAAGAGGACATTTTGTAACCTGCCCTCTGTACAATCTTTGACCTCCTATCTATTTTGTAGACGACATTTTATAACCTTCCCTCTGTACCATCTATGACCTCCTATCTGTGAAGAGGACATATTATAAACTGCCTTGTGTACAATCTATGACCTCTAATCTATTTTGTAACCTACTGTCACTAAAATGTATGACCTACTCTCATTACAATTATATAACCTACCTTCTCTATGTTTTAAAACGATCTGATAACCGACTTTCTTTTTTAAATATTTCATAACCTATCTTTACATATTATACAATGATGCAGTATGGATTGCCGCCTGTTTATGCTTTAACACATACTACTGAGTAAAAGGGGTAACAACATTTTGAAGGTTTTTTAAGGTATTGACATGCTTATTTGCTTACACCACAACTACGCCCTTATTTTTACAAATGACTTAGCGAAGAACGCCCCTTTTGTGTTCTTTATTCGGTAGGTTTCTTTGATCCCTCCTTACATCAGCTGTTCCCCTATCTACTACCGCCCGAGCCGGTGCTTACTCGTTATGTTAATTGGGAGTTACAATCTCATCAATAAATCAGTTTTACACAGGTTAGTGTGTTTGTTTTACAGGACAGTTACACACGGCTAGAGATAGATGACGTTTTTACGTCCCGACTTTCTTTCATCAACCGTACCGAGAGGTAGTGGGCGGGCCATCCGTCTTACAGGGGTCAAACATTCTCTAGGATTAAGTACGAAACTACAAGATCTGGTAATTCATACTCTTAAAAACAAACTTAATAAAAAAAAATGTAAAAAGGAAGAGAAATGTATAACGTTTGTTTACAAAATATGAGAATTGTTTGATATTTGAGAATGTTATTGAGAGAAAAAGTTTAATATTTGTCGATGTTATAGAGAGGTATTAACAGTTTATTGGTGTTATAGAATAGAAAAAATATTTGATATTTGTTAAAGTATTAAGGAGGAGAAATTGAGTATTTGGAGGTTAAAGTATAGAAGGGTGGAAACATTTAAAATAAAGGAACAAAAGGTTAAAGTATAGAAGGGCGGAAACATTTAAAACAAAAGAACAAAAGGTTAAAGTATAGAAGGATAGAAACATTTAAAATAAAGGAACAAAAGGTTAAAGTATAGAAGGGTAGAACCATTTAAAATAAAGGAACAAAATGTTAAAGGATAGAAGGGTAGACACATTTAAGATAAGGGAACAAAAGGTTAAAGTATAGAAGGGTAGAACCATTTAAAATAAAGGAACAAAATGTTAAAGGATAGAAGGGTAGACACATTTAAGATAAAGGACCAAAAGGTTAAAGTATAGAAGGGTGGAAACATTTAAAATAAAGGAACAAAAGGTTAAAGTATAGAAGGGTAGAAACATTTAAAATAACGGAACAAGAGGTTAAAGTATAGAAAGGTAGAAACATTTAAAATAACGGAACAAGAGGTTTAAGTATAGAAGGGTGGAACCATTTAAAATAAAGGAACAAAATGTTAAAGTATAGAAGGGTAGACACATTTAAGATAAAGGAACAAAAGGTTAAAGTATAGAAGGGTGGAAACATTTAAAATAAAGGAACAAAAGGTAAAAGTATAGAAGGGTAGAAACATTTAAAATAAAGGAACAAAAGGTTAAAGTATAGAAGGGTAGAAACATTTAAAACAAAGGAACAAAGGGTTAAAGAATAGAAGGGTAGCCACATTTAAAATAACGGAACAAAAGGTTTAAGTATAGAAGGGTAGAAACATTTAAAATATAGGAACAAAAGGTTAAAGTATAGAAGGGTAGAAACATTTAAAATAAAGGAGCAAAAGGTTAAAGTATAGAAGGGTAGAAACATTTAAAATTACGGAACAAGAGGTTAAAGTATAGAAAGGTAGAAACATTTAAAATAAAGAAACAAAAGGTTAAAGTATAGAAGGGTAGACACATTTAAAATAAAGGAACAAAAGGTTAAAGTATAGAAGGGTCGAAACATTTAAAATAAAGGAGCAAAAGGTTAAAGTATAGAAGGGTAGAAACATTCAAAATAAAGGAACAAAAGGTTAAAGTATAGAAGGGTAGACACATTTAAAATAACGGAACAAAAGGTTAAAGTATAGAAGGGTAGAAACATTCAAAATAAAGGAACAAAAGGTTAAAGTATAGAAGGGTAGACACATTTAAAATAAAGAAACAAAAGGTTAAAGTATAGAAGGGTAGACACATTTAAAATAAAGGAACAAAATATGTGTTTACAGTATTGTAGAAAACATGGAAATATTTGTTTATAGTATCGTTGAAAACATGTAAATATCTGTTTATAATATCGTAGGAAACATGTAAATATTTGTATGTGTTTATAGTTTTGTAGAAAACATGTAGATATCTGTTGATAATACTGTAGAAAACATGTAAATATTTGTATGTGTTTATAGTTTTGTAGAAAACATGTAAATATTTGTTTATAGTTTTGTAGAAAACAGGTAAATATTTGTTTATAGTATTGTAGAAAACATGTAAATATTTGTTTATAGTTTTGTAGAAAACATGTAAATATTTGTTTATAGTATTGTAGAAAACATGTAAATATTTGTTTACAGTTTTGTAGAAAACATGTAAATATTTGTTTATAATATTGTAGAAACTTTGTAAATATTTGTTTATAGTATTGTAGAAAACATGTAAATATTTGTTTATAATATTATAGAAAACATGTAAATATTTGTTTATATTATTGTATTTGACATTCAAGCAGTATATCAACCACAGTAAATCATGCATGATATCGGTGTCAGCTGTAAATTTAGATGTAATAATTTGGTTTGTTTTAATTTTATTTAACGTCCTATTGACAGCTAAGGTCATTTAAGGGCGTGCCTCCATGTGTGTAGTATATGCGTGCTTGCGTGTGTGTATGCATGAGGCAGGGTATGTTGTAAGAATTGTACCTGCTTCCCTCATTGCATAATCGTAAGAGGTGACTAAATTTGGGATCTTATCTTTTCTAAACAACTTTCTTCTTCCTAATGTCTCCCTTGACAATGCCTCACTTTTGACCTTTAGTTGAGCGTTCGCCCCTGTGAGGAAGGCTTTGGGTTCTGTCCCCTGGTCCGGACATACCAGAGTCTGTAACAATTGTAGACTGTACTCCTGCTTAATGCTCAGCAATTTAGGAGTGGGTCGACTGGTGTGGCCGTTGTCAGTATAATGTGACCGGGCGGGGTGTCCTGCTGGGTGTCTTCGGCAATATGTTTCAGTGAGGTAGCACTATAAAGTCGGCATCAGTTCCGCGCTATCACAAGGAGACAAACAAGAACATATCGCAGCTTCCCAAAATACACACGCATAAACTACACGCATGCATCTTGCACACAGGGGAGGTCGTCCTTTAATCACCATAGCTGTTATACAATACCAAACCAAACCAAACCAAACTCATTTTGTAGTGCTATCTAATAAAAAAAACATACCGAAGGCACCTAGCACAGCATTCCGCCCGGTCACATTATGCTGACAACAGGTTAATCAGTTGTTGCCATTCCCCTAAATGCTAAACGCAGGGAATAATAACTACCAATTTTAAGATCTTTGGTATGTCCCGTCCTGGGGACAGAATCCATTGCCTTCCTTACCTGGGCGAACGCTCAATATTAAAGCCAAAAGCGAGGCGCTAGGAAATAAAAGGTAGTTAGATGTAGAAAGAAAGATAAATATCCCAAATATTGCAATGGGTGCAGCAGAATTATTGTGGTCGCTTTTGTGACCAAAGCAAATCCCCAATTTCTTTAGGAGTTCCCACATTAGTCGCCTCCTACGATACATGCAGTTGGTACCAGCAGGTGTATTGTGTTCCTGATCCCCCGACTTCAGGCGTGTTAATAAATAGCCACACAGACATTGATCTAGGCCTGGACATTTTACCGGAGACGATATTGTTTGATTTTAATATTTTTATTTAAATATAGAGTTCCCTCTATGTCCTTTTACTTCCATACCAATGATATTTTTGTACACCAGTCGAACATCTTTGTAAAGTAACTGTTGGAGACGTAAATATGACTCAACGAAGACCTGCCACAAAAACGTCAATTGGAAATTTGTGGAAATTTCCAGGTTGTTATTTGCAGCCGATCAATCTAAAAACTACGTGTTTTACAGACGTTTGTTTACGTTTTTTGACTGTGCTAGTCAGCCACAAATCATGAAACCATCAATCGAATGCGCCCAGTGATGTCATCAAGTAATCATCCAATCCAAACCCACGTAACAAAAGCCGCCGCTACTACTATAAAAAGGCGCATACGGTCCAAGATCAGAAACAGTTTCAAACTATTTCAAACTCTATTTCGGATTTTTATTTCAGATCTCATTTCTCGGATACAAAGATGAAGTTACCGTCGATAGTTTTCCTTACTGTTTCGTTACTCGGTAAGCACTTTGTTTTGTTTATGTTAACGACATTATCGTGAATATTTCTATAAGGGCACCCTGCACGAGGAACTGAGCACACGTTTTAAACATAATTTAATGCATGTTTAATTCAAGCACTATTCCTTTTAAATCAATGTTTCTTTCATAGCCAAGCTTTTAAGAAGTACAATTAAATGTCGTTTGATTCCGATTAGCAGTTTAACCGAAATCATAATGACATTCTCGAGTTTCAATCATCTTAACAAATATAGTTGAAATATAACTGCATTTTGGAAAATTCTTTCAACATTCGAGATAGTGCTATGGGATAACATACTTCAGACTCTATACATCACCGCCGGTCCCAATTCTCTATCGTGCAGATTAAACGCAATATTTCTATCTATAAGAACGCAATTGGGTGAATTGATGATTTGCCCCAATTATATGTCTCTGTGGCGGTACACTTAATCTACGACCAGTTATGTGAATGACTCTGACGTGTGTCCCTATCGACATGCTTTGTACACACATGTGAAGGATCCTGACTGATCGATGTGTTCTCGATACGCTCATTTACACTTTCACAAACTACCGGCTTAAAATACGCAAGGCTACATATACATGTACCTCGGTATTGTTACGCTCTTTGAACCTGTATAATCAAGACGCTATCATGTAAGGATCGATAATCAATATTTAAAGAATACATTTCAAACATTATGATTACGTTCAAATCAACAAAGAAAGCCCTATTTTATGTTTCTGGGCGGTTTCTTCTGATCAGTGTTACGTTCTAAACAAAATGTTTTATAACTGGTGTAACCGTTATTTTTGAGGAACAATATATATTTGTTTTTGAAGTTATCGTTTCTATCAGGTGACAAATATCGATTGGAAAACCTATCGGAATATTCCGTCAAAGTATGAATTTCATATCACGATATGATTGGTCCCGATCACTCAATCTGTAAGACGGAAATACCCGAACAGTTTCCGATTGGAAAACAATCACGTGTAACAGCAGTTTGTGATATGGAGTTCATATTGACGATTCTGGTTATTGGGTGCAATTTCGGACTATGCATAGGAAATATAAGTCTGGTAAAAATACAGTCTCAATTCGAGAACACATAATGTGACTTATTTTTACAGAAAAAATCATTATTTCATTAGAATTATTAAAGCGACGTGGCTTGTAATACTAGTTAAATCAGTACAGACCTATCAGTCGTTGAAGGTAGAACAAACATATACTGTAAAGATGCACACTGATTGCCGCTGTTATGATATAGAATGAAACAACCCCAATACATCAATATCTTGTATTTATTGTTTGGTTTTCAGATTTACCATGTACCCTATCCCAGACACCACCCACGTCTGTTAAACCTAACACAACACCAACAGGCAACGCATGTCCGGTCCTGAACACGTCTCGACAGGGCCGTAACCTACTTGTCCACCTCCTACCAAATAATCAGTGTCAATTGTACGTTAAGTATATTTTACTCTACTAATGTATATTTTATTTTGTGGAGATATGTCCAAACCTATATATTTGTGATCTGAGATTGAGATATCTATACATGATACTGATAAGAGAGCTAGTTATCGAGATTGTTAATTATCGAGATATCCATACATGATACTAGTAAGATAGTTATCGAGATATCCATGCATAATACTGATAAGATAGTTAACTATCGAGATATCCATACATGATACTGATGAGAGAGTTAGTTATCGAGATATTCATACATGATACTGATAAGAGAGTTAATTATCGAGATATCCATACATGATACTGATGAGAGAGTTAGTTATCGAGATATCCATACATCATACTGATAGGAGAGTTAGTTATCGAGATATCCATACATGATACTCATAAGAGAGTTAATTATCGAGATATCCATACATGATACTGATAAGAAAGTTAGTTATCGAGATATCCATACATGATACTGATAAGAGAGTTAGTTATCGAGATTGTTAATTATCGAGATATCCATACATGATACTAATAAGATTGTTATCGAGATATCCATGCATAATACTGATAAGATAGTTAACTATCGAGATATCCATACATGATACTCATAAGAGAGTAAGTTATCGAGATATCCATACATGATACTGATGAGAGAGTTAGTTATCGAGATATTCATACATGATACTAATAAGATAGTTAGTTATCGAGATATTCATACATGGTACTAATAAGAGAGTTAGTTATCGAGATATCCATACATGAGACTGATAAGAGAGTAAGTTATCGAGATATCCATACATGATACTAATAAGAGAGTTAATTATCGAGATATCCATACATGATACTGATAAAAGAGTTGGTTATCGAGATATCCATACATGATACTGATGAGAGAATAGTTATCGATATATCCATACATGATACTGATAAGAGAGTAAGTTATCGATATATCCATACATGATACTAATAAGAGAGTTAATTATCGAGATATCCATACATGATACTGATAAGAGAGTAAGTTATCGATATATACATACATGATACTAATAAGAGAGTTAATTATCGAGATATCCATACATGATACTGATAAGAGAGTTGGTTATCGAGATATCCATACATGATACTGATAAGAGCGTTTATTATCGAGATATCCATACATGATACTGATAAGAGAGTTAGTTATCGAGATATCCATACATGATACTGAAAGGAGAGTTAGTTATCAAGATATCCATACATGATACTGATAAGAGAGTTAGTTATCGAGATATCCATACATGATACTGATAGGAGAGTTAGTTATCAAGATATCCATACATGATACTAATAAGAGAGTTAATTATCGAAATATCCATACATGATACTAATAAGAGAGTAAGTTATCGAGATATCCATACATGATACTGATAAGAGAGTAAGTTATCGAGATATCCATACATGATACTGATGAGAGAGTTAGTTATCGAGATATTCATACATGATACTAATAAGATAGTTAGTTATCGAGATATTCATACATGATACTAATAAGATAGTTAGTTATCGATATATCCATACATGATACTGATGAGAGAATAGTAATCGAGATATCTATACATGATACTGATAAGAGAGTTAGTTATCGAGATATCCATACATGATACTGATAGGAGAGTTAGTTATCAAGATATCCATACATGATACTAATAAGAGAGTTAGTTATCGATATAGCCTTACATGATACTGAGAGAGTGTATTTAAGATATTGTATTGTTTCTGTTTCCAGGGTGGTTTCAGTAACATCACGAAAAGTAGCGTATGATAAATTGGTCAGATTAAATTCAAGGACAGTTAGAAAGGATATCAGGTAGGTACCGTTTACAAAGATATTTGTTTATACTTTAATGCAAGTGTGAAATCGTGTACCCTCAGACCGGTGTGTGCGTTTTCCCCTTTTTATATTGATGTGTGTATTTAGTTTTCGTCATACCGGTTTGTACATTTTCTTTTATACTGATGTGTGTATTCAATTATCGTCATACCGGTTTATACATTTTCTTTTATACTGATTTGTGTATTTAGTTTTCGTCACACCGGTTTATATATTTTCTTTTATACTGATGTGTGTATTCAAGTATCGTCATACCGGTTTATACATTTTCTTTTATACTGATGTGTGCTTTTGCGTCCTTCTTTTTCCTTTACACGTCTGTATTTATTTATGTCACCTTGCAGTGACGTGACTTTGTATTGTATACAGTATACAAGTATAAACGTTCCTATATATTTTATTGTTGGCTCCTTCAGGCGTGCAATGACTCCTCAGTAAACGATTGAATATCCTTTATTTTCCACAGAATTGTATATTTCATTGAGGGCTCCTTTAGGCGTGCAATGACTCCTCAGTAAACGATTGAATATCCTTTATTTTCCATAGAGATGTATATTTCATTGAGGGCTCCTTTAGGCGTGCAATGACTCCTCAGGTTCCCGGGTTTCCTCCTGTAAATTGTCCTCCTTTCAACGTTCAAATGCAGAGCAACACCATCGTTATTGAGACCAGACCACGAGACTGCTACGTGTAAGTTAAATAAGAGAGTTTCGTCTATACTTTTTTTGAAGAAATACAATACCTGAGTTCCACAGTAAACAGTAGCTGACTAGCTCCATGTAGGTCCATAAAATCTGCAGTATTTTTGCGATTCCAGAACAAAGAAATGGCCTTGGATGTAATCATGTGAGCATAGACAGGCTGGCTAATGCTAGCATTGTAGAACATGCGTTTTGATGTCTATACGATGATCTGTTTGGTTGAGATGAACTGGTGTATAGACGTTGCTATCGTCTCTCCTAATCTCGTTCGAATACTGTACGTGAAGCATGTTCAACTATACACCAGTCTTAACGTTAAAAACAGAAATGTTCTTGTTGTGAGCGAGGTTAATTTAACATACGTGTATGATATATGTATTGAGAAGAGTGTTATGGTGGCATATTTCTGCCATCCACTTGCGACTTACGAGTTACGTATGTCGACATAATTATTGAAAGATGTCGACATAATCTGAGAAGATGTCGTCATAACTGTTAAATTATGTCGACATATTATCACATTTGCCGAGATAATTTTGCCGAGATAATTATCTCGTAAGTGGGTAACTCGGCTTTTTATCGTGTTAATGCTCGGGTGTGACATCGACTTGCCACTTACGACTTGCCACTTACGACTTATTTATGTCGACATCCTAGTAGATTATTGCCGACTTACCAAAACGAGGCGTGTGCACGAGGACCGCGAAGGTGGGCTGATGGTGACTGAACAGTGGGGACTATACTGGCGAGTAACTTGGTAAAATCAATGTACATATGGGAAATCAAAGATATGGATATTACAGTAGGTTACTATGATGTACAGAGTTTATCAATCAAAGAGGGATTTTACATAAATAAGTCGTAAGTGGCAAGTCGTATGTCGATGTCACACCCGAGCATTAACACGATAAAAAGCCGAGTTACCCACTTACGAGATAATTATCTCGGCAAAATTATCTCGGCAAATGTGATAATATGTCGACATAAGTTAAAAGTTATGTCGACATATTCTCAGATTATGTCGACAGCTTTCAATAATTATGTCGACATACGTAACTCGTAAGTCGCAAGTGGATGGCAGAAATATGCCACCATAGAGTGTATACAATTTATTAAATTATAACTTTTACAGAACTGTTGCCCACCAAGAAGTGTTGACCCCAGTGTGGAACCCGTCACGTGGAATGCCAATGTGAGTTTACCATTTGTCTGTTATATTTTACGAGATCTATTATATGAAGGACTTTCTGAAGGTCGGTCCTTTATGGGTCAAAATAGGTAATATGAAGTATGTGACATGCGAGAAAGCATCATCAGTCATAAAAAATTATGAATCGCTAAAAATCAAAATTGGCGTTGCGGTATAGCCTTTTCTACCTATTACACATCATCCTCAAACAAGCGAACAATCACAATGCACGACATTCAACTTCGTAATATTCTTCTTCTTACTCTTTTGGTGTTCGATTTTTAAACGTTTGTGTTGTAACCGTTTATTCCCCAGATTCACCAACCGGCAGTCATATGAAGTGAAAAACTCAGGTCCGTTCCAGATAAGTCCTAGCTTTCCTTTTATTCCACGACCAGGCGTGCCTGCAACTGGTCAAACTGGTATTCAGCCAAGCGTACCTGTCCCTGGACAAACAAATCTACCAGCACCACCAACAACAGGTGTTCACACGTTTATGCCATTAGTCTTCCCAGGGACTGGTGCGCAGACTTCCCAAACTACTGGCCCTGTGACGAGTGTTGGCGGGTCTCCACCACCAGTACCGGTCTCTTTGACGACTGAGACAGGAGGCGTATAGTGGTTCACGCATTCTCCCTACGTTACAAAATGAAAGTAATTCTCCTTGTCGTGGTTTATTATTTGCGACTGAAACAATATGAAGCATTATACTGCCATCCTGAGTCTGAACAAAGAAAAAGACAGCATGACGGATACGAAACACGGTGCAATACTTTTTGTCTTTGCGGCCGAGACCGTAAAGAATTGTACATGAAGAAAAAACAGTTACCTGGCTCTGGAGGAATGGTGCAACTTCATTGGTTGTGTCGAAAAACTCCTTAATAACCAAATGCTGGTTTAAGCGATACATTTATTCTCAATGAGAAATTTTAATGATAAAATGATAGTAGCAAATTAAAAACAAGGACAGCGATGAAATCAAGAGATTCTTACTGTACGCTTTGGAATTTTCGCCCAGTCAAATCCCTTCGCCCACGATATCAATTTTTGCTTAGTGTTATTTTCGCCCTCCACATTTAATTACTGTGTAAATTATGTTCTTTACAATTGCTTGCTGATATGATAAATTCGCCTTCATTACAGAGGGCGAGAAAAGGCAGCGAAACTTTCCCGGTTAACAGGTTGTCATATCTAGTGACCTACCAATTGAAAACATCATATATATAATGTGGTCCTCATACTTACGATATAAATATATATAACAAGAAGTCATTAAAATAATAATTAAATACGATATAAAATATATTATATTATATATAATGTTATAGTATCATATTACAAAATATTACCAATGACAGAAATATAAACTCGCTGTTCAAAACGTATATTATCATGAACAAATTATATGTGGCGCGGAGGTTGAATTTGGGAGGAATGCATAATATGTTGGTGTAACAAAAGTAGTTATTATAAACAGGAGATAATCAGTTATAACAAGAAATGGAACACTTACTTTAACAAAGGAAAATATATTTTCTCCAAACGACGCTTTGTCAAATAAATCCCCGTACGACACATCATTTATCATTTATAAACAGTAACGGTATTCATGGCCGTACAATGATAAAAGGAAGCTTACTTGTGGTGTCCATGACAGGTGATGTATCAGTGAGATTAATTGTTGTGTATATTTAGGAAGACAATCAGAGTGGAAAATTCGCAGAGTGAGGCTTTATTATAAAAATAAAGTTCATTCAGTTTATTGATGGTAAAACGTCCCTATATTAAATGCCCATGTTAACCTAGTCCTATTTCCTATATCATATTGCAACAGGAAAGGAAACCTACATTAGAGGACATGTATTTAATAAAGTTTAATCTAACGAAGCAAAATTAGAAACATTACTGAAAATTACGTTTCTTTTGCCACAAAACACCACATAATATCTGGTATTTCTAATGCACAGAAACACAGAAAAAAATCTAGTCCTTATGTAGGTGAACCCAGAAATATAGAAGCCCCGGTTAAGAACTTCTCTTATGCTATAAGCATTGATTTTAGAGGGACTTGTTAAACAAAAATATTGAGAAAATGTTAGAATTAGGATATTTGTATGTTTTATATGTAGAATCTATCTATGATGTAAAACAATTGAAAAAAACATTATTAACGATATTATCTCAAGCATGTTCTGACTTATGACAACCAGAAATGAACGTCTATTTGCTTATTCATTCGACAGGCAAGTGATTTAAACATGATACTGTTTTGCTCCCGGTTAACCGTAGTTGTTCCCTTGTTTGTTCCATTGTTGAAATCCATTTATTTTCACTCATGTTATGATGATAAACATAGTAAAATCAGACAACATTACACTCCAAGTCAAACTACAAACGGTACCACAGATAAAGGTGCATATATCTAACTGTCAGTCAATGAAATAATTAGTGAAAATAAAATGAAATATAAAAAAGACAAATGTGTCGTTTTGTTGTTGGCTTGTCCATGTGTCACGTTATGCTTGTCAATTTCGATATAATAACGTAAACATTTATTACAATACCGGTGTACGTTGACGGAATACCTTTAAAATATCAAACGTATTACTAAGGCCCTGTACAGGAGGAACATGGTTGGACTATTGAGAGTATTGGCAGTGAAGTAATATATGTTGAGATTGTTGCTTTAGTATGTGTTCATGCTGTATTTATTGGTTCGCACGTGTGTTTTCCTGCTGAATAAGTAAAAGCTATATATATGATATATAAAACCTCGAATTTCCTTCTGTGAAAGAGAAAAGAAGTTGATATTTGAAGAGGTTTAATCATTTCCCTTCCGAAAAAAATTCTCACAAGAAACCGGAAGGATTAAGAGAGATTTGTTTGATTTTATTTGTACCTGATAATGAATTCCTTGTTCTTTGATAACTTAATAATAAATGGCCTCTGAAACAGTTAGGTGGCTGACATTATCAGAACCAGATATTACGAGCGATGTACTGGTCCAACCCACACGTCTTTTTATCTGGTTCGACTGGCTCTAAAATTCGATATAATTTGTGTCTTTCCCTCATTCATTCCGTTCTTTCTCTACTTTGGCGTTTGGCTCGGAGTATAGCTCGTCTGACAACTCCGATATACCTTTACAAGTTGAATCACTTAAATGTTATGTTATGCTTTGCACACAACCTCACAATTCAGATTTATGTGAGGGTTCGAATTACCAACAGGAGCGCGTTCTATTTAACAACTGCGTTCGTGATTATCTTAAGATGACATTACAAATAAGACATATTAGTAAAATTGGCAAAATAGTTTGTTTTGTTTCTTTATTTATCAGAAAAATATGATAGTTATGATACAATGTAGATGTTAAAACCAAGTATGACGTACGAGGTATGCTATCTATCTTAATGTCCAAGTGTTCTATGTAACATGACTACTGTCAGCAGTAAATCAGCCGTTACCTGGGCCCGTATTTATGAAACTGTTCTCATGCTCAAGCATGGATTCTGTGCTCAAACCAGCTTTCTTGTAACTCACTTAAATAATGTAAAACAATCAAAAAGTAAAATGAAACATTAAAAATAGTATTCGACTATAACTATCTTCAAATATTTTTTCAAACCATTGAACAAATAATAGTTTTATATCAATTTATAACTGAAACACGAAATTAGGCTTGAGCACAAAAAAAACATACTTGAGCATGAGAACGGTTTCATGAATACGGGCCCAGGTAACGGCAGATTTACTGCTGACGATTGTCATGTTACATAGAACACTTGGACATTTAGATATCTCTACAGGAGGACGTGGTGAAGTTTACTATATATATATAGGGAAATTAACACTTACTGATATATTTTACATATTTTCAATGGGATAAAATTTAACTTGGTTGGAATACTTATCACGTGATTACAGTTTGATTGTATAACTATCAGCACACAGAGTCACTCCAAAGGCCTGAAAGGCTGGGTCTACTAGGGGTCAGAAAGGCTTAAATTTCCTCAATCCTCTACTTAATATGCTGGAATCAAATACCCTTCATGGATGGAAATGTCCTAAGGATTTATCTAAAACTGTGAATATCAATACCACTTATCACCTTGAGAAGGGGTGAATGTGACTATATTAAATCAGTCTATGCTATCACGCGATATATATATGCATGTTGTAAATTGGTTACTCCCTAACGTATTTTGTCGGAAAAAAACACTGTCAAAATGCCGTATTAGGATGTGTAATATTTGTATTTGTCAAATCAAAAAAAGAAATGTATTACAAATCAGGTGGACGTAAGAGCTTACGGGCCTCTTTTTAATGATATAAAAGTATTTTTACTGGAAGTTGGAATTTAGCAAAAACAATAAGAACAAAAAGATATTAAGTAGTTTTGCGGATAAAACTTCCCTGAATGTGTTAATTTCAATGAATCAACAATACCCACGTCCACTTATGTGAATGATTCATGATGCGTGTTGCAATCCTTCATCATTATCATTTTAAAGCTATTTTTAGACAGTCCCATTCATTCCGAGCATCGACCGAGTTTACGGACTGTAACCTGATTTACAGACGATCAGTCGACAGCTGCTGGTTTTCGAACGGGGATTTTATATCCTGGAATGACGCATCCAACTGTTGACTGTTAGCTGTATGGAACCTTCCACGTGGTCAGTGCTGTAGCTGTTGATATTCATAGAGTGCATATGCTCATATATTTTGTTATTTAAGTTTTCATTTTCGCAATAGCTAAAGTTCCGGTCCCTACGAAGTTTGAGGTTTTGAAACTTGGCTCAAGTTGATACAAAAGTCAGGCGTGTTTCACTGTTTCTGGTGTGTTCTTTTCGTTTAGTACCTCTGGGTACCTTTGGAGCCGATGACATATAAAAATAACACTTTGTATCAAAGTTTCCACAAATGTCAGGGTAAGGCTCGCGTGACTGTTTCCGAGGTCGGACGTAGGCCCCCGATTCCAACGTCTCAAGCGTATAGTTACATACAGTCTAGTGTCGTATGGATATTTTAGCAAATACAATGAAGGACAAAGACAAACCCACACCGTTCCCTCAAAACTCCAGGACGCCACGCTGTCGTATCCGTCCTACAAAGTAGTATACATGTGTGGTAGTGGTAGTGGTCTCCCTTTAGTTGTTGTTTTATATAGAAACAGTGAACCCTCAACATTCGATCAAAGATGACTTGGTTCTGTGTTGTTAATTGGAAGTCATGTTTATCAGAAAATATCTTCTTCTAAGTAATGAAACACTGGAACGAAATCAAACCTGAAATAAACATAAACTGTTATTATAGTTCTACATTTTAACATTTTACTGGTATGACATGGGGGGGGGGGGGGGGGTAGTATAGGCTGCAGGACCTTTTAAAAGCTTTTGAGTGATTATTATGTCACAATGATAATATATGTTATACCAAACTGTTCATTGCAAGCTCAAATTGGGCATGAAACAATGAACACACAATTTATTACTGAGAGTACTTTAGATTTCTTATCGGTATAAGTCGCGTCATGCTATCATGGAATACAACAGGTCCATCACTCTCAAAGGCTATATGCTTAAGAGTTGTTTATCTAGCACAAACACATTTCGTTACATATATGTTGGTTCATGTAAAGAGTTCTTTCTTTAAAATCATCTTGACATATATGTGCTTCATCTTTTCATATCAAAGTGTTTTTCTTCTACGGAATGGAATTTACCAAAAAGTCTTAACTAGTAAGAGGATACCGCAATACAATACCACTTCAAATATCTGATAAAACATTCGTCAAACTTAGAATATCGACGAAAATGTCGAGGATAATGTCTGTGATGCTCCACTTTAAATGTACATGACCTCTGTGTGACCGTACACTTAACTGTTTTTACTATTCGTAAATCTTAGTACTGTATATGGGATATATAACAAACATATACGCCACGAGGCAGCTGTTCTCCTATTACCTGTCCTAAGTATACCACACAGTCTACGTACCGATCACGTCCCCTCGTACTCGGGGTATCAATCCTAATTCTCTGCACACCGACCACTCTACAATAAATCAATGTTTATTTGTTAAATTTTCATGAACTGTCAACATAAGGAGGGCAAACGTCTCACTATCTGAGACCTCACAACAATGTAACGTTGATAAACACACAAAAGTTAGAATATTTCTTTAAACTGTCCTTACATGTACAAGTGTATGTTTAACAAACCTTACATTGACACTTTTCTGTTTAAACAGCTCTAACACCAAAAGGTGTTTGTGTACATTCAATAATATAAAATCTAGAAGACACTGACCTGTTTAATTGGCATTCTCGGCCATAATTGTATGACGTGTTCCCGACACTTTGTGTCAGGAGTCCTGTTCCTGTTATTTGTCATTATATATAGTCTAGAAGGGCATTACCACAGTATTATCATACACTTCAGTTAACCATTAATTCAAGAAACGATTACAATTAGTAAAGGGGATATTACAATTAGAATAGAGTTGTTCGCTGTTGAAAATAATGGTACGTTTTGATTATTTTTTAAACTCACTTTCTTAAGGTCAGCTTAAACCATTAAGTGATAAGAGTCTAAGTGCAAGGTGAAAAATATTAAAAAAGAAATGGCGGCATTCTTTAAATTTACACGCTCATTGCTATGGAAATCAAGCTAAGCTTGCACACATTGTTCAATGAAAAACGTAAAAACAAACGATACATGTCTGTGGTATATATAAAGCCTGACTTACAGCTGACAGACGTTTTTCACAGTGTCAATCACAGTCAACAGTCCGATGTTCCTTATTCTGTAGTCAGGGCACGCGGCGGGAGCTTCCGTCGTCGTCATGTTGTCACTACCACCGACAGGGGTGGTTGTCTCTGTCGGTACCATTTCAACCTCCGTAAGATGAAGATTTCTAAAAAGTCAAAACTCAAATCGTTATGTTTATCCTAGACGAGGAAAGCTAGAGTTATTCCCCTTCCTACAAAACGCTTAATGCCGCTTTATTCAGATTATTATTTATTTTTTTGTCACACTCATGCGCCGTTCATGTATGAATTATTTTTTAAACCGTACAAAAAGAGAAGCGGATTTCACTGAAGATATCTTGAGTGACATTTTGGAAATGGAAGGGGGGAAATAAGAGGCCTTATTCTACATAGGAGAAATACACAATGAAAAAGGAGAGACACGACTTGTAGCATCACCGAAGGAAGGGAGATAACCAAATAGTCAGAAAGCTACACTCTGTACTAACATCGAATATAAAACAATGGGCTCCTCGGATTTACAGTATAAAAATCGACAAAATGAACGTGAAAGGGTAACAGAACGGACAGAAACTATATGGACATACCCCCGATGTCTGTAATACCTCAACTCTTGCATACTTCACATCTGGTATCAACGTCATAATAACGAAATCACAAAATCATATTTTTTTATTGTGATGATCACATACAACTTCCACGTGTCCTCTGCTGAATACGACACACAACCAGCTATACAACCCGTGTAGTAATAACTTAGTAGCTTACCGGCGTACGTTAGGTTTAACCCCGCGTCCCTTTAGGAAGCTCAGAGACCTCATGTATTTTGTATTCCTCATAACCACTCGAACGCGAACCTTCCTGGAAACCGTAGGTCGAAATAAGCAAAATTAGAGGTAGGATAACTAGAAATCGTTAAAAAATGGAAAATTTGTCTTACAATGGTACATTGTTTCGATTGTAAAATATGTTATCACATGCCTGTTGAATCTTGTTATAGTAATTCAAGCAATTTTCAGACCATGAAATACAACGTTCTGTATTGCACATGTGCAATACGAATGTTGTATTTACCTACTAGCCGGAACTACTTTTTATGGGAATCCCCTCGTCAAGTCGAACTGAAAAGTTCCCGGTATTTGCAAAAAAATATCAAAGTTTATAAATTTTTGTATCGATCTCTACCAAATACGGAAGGTATGTGATAAAAGCAAGACCACACTCTTGTGTTTTTCTAACGAATCAGAAAGCAAATATATTCATCCGCGCAATAAACTCGTGCTTTCTGATTTGTTAGAAAAAACACAAATGTGTGGTCTTGCATATGCATGCTACGTAATACATTATACCTGTGATTTGTGGTAGAGTCAAGGAGATATACTACCTTATACATTATACCTGTGATTTGTGTTAGAGTCAAGGAGATATACTACCTTACACATTATACCTGTGATTTGTGTTAGAATCAAGGTTATATGCTACCTTATACATTATACCTGTGATTTGTGTTAGAGTCAAGGAGATATACTACCTTACACATTATACTTGTGATTTGTGTTAGAATTAAGGTTATATGTTACATTACACATTATACCTGTGATTTGTGTTAGAATTAAGGTTATATGCTACCTTATACATTATACCTGTGATTTGTGTTAGAATTAAGGTGATATACTACCTTATACATTATACCTGTGATTTGTGATAGAGTTGAGGATATAAGCTACCTTACACATTATACCTGTGATTTGTGTTAGAATTAAGGTTATATGCTACCTTACACATTATACCTGTGACCTGTGATAGAGATAAGGATATATGCTACCTTACACATTATACCTGTGATTTGTGTTAGAATTAAGGTTATATGCTACCTTATACATTATACCTGTGATTTGTGTTAGAATTAAGGTTATATGCTACCTCATATATTATACCTGTGATTTGTATTAATATTAAGGATATGCTACCTTAAACATCATAACTGTGATAAGTATTAGAGTTACCTCCCTTAACTGAGTGCTGTGTATACATGTATTCTTATTTCAAATGTTTAGTCAGTTCATTAACCTGTAAAAATCACCACTCGTACATTGCACATGTTTGTTCCGAGTCAGGAACGCTTTCCGAAAATACTGTTTCCATTTTGACAGACATTTACTGAAATGATTGCTCTCCTTCTGTGTTGGTATTGATGACATTAAGGTACAGTCAAGTTATTGATATTAACATTAAAACAATTCATTTGAAGAAGACATACGATCAGCACGAGATCGCAGTTTTTCCAATCTGTTTTACTTACGGTTAATTTTCCTTGAAATTTTTTATCAATCAATTTGATTTCAGAAGTTAAACAGCCATTAACTGATAAGATAGAATCAACGTACTTACAGTTCACACTTGTTTGGTATCATAGCGAAGGTAAGCTTTTTGTTTTCCTGTTCCACGGGAAATGTCGGGCACAAAGATTGAGAGGATTGTGGAGCTGATGTCGTAACCGATGCATTCTGGGAAGATACTGTTGTTTCGGTCATATCTGAAATAATGCGATATACATTATAATGAAAGGGGTACATTTATACATTTATGGGTTATTGTTCTATATTATAGGGTTATCAGTCTATATTATTGGGTTATCAGTCTATACTATTGGGTTATCAGTCTATATTATTGGGTTATCAGTCTATATTATTGGGTTATCAGTCTATACTATTGGGATATCAGTCTATATTATTGGACTATCAGTCTATACTATTGGGATATCAGTATATACTATTGGGTTACATGTCTATACTATTGGACTATCAGTCTATACTATTGGGTTATCAGTCTATATTATTGGGTTATCAGTCTATACTATTGGGATATCAGTCTATATTATTGGACTATCAGTCTATACTATTGGGATATCAGTATATACTATTGGGTTACATGTCTATACTATTGGACTATCAGTCTATACTATTGGGTTATCAGTCTATATTATTGGGTTATCAGTCTATACTATTGGGATATCAGTCTATATTATTGGACTATCAGTCTATACTATTGGG